TCAAACTGTAGCATTCACCATTTCTTGTTTTGCTGACTTGCATTATTAGAACGAAATTCCAAATTGGCCATAGTGTCCTTACAGCTCGGCTTATAATTCTCTCCTCATCACTTTTATTTTCACGATAAATTCATTTCTATTAGTTGATAGGAATCAAATCTATGATAACTTTATCATAACTGAAGCAATACTGATATCTGATCGTTCGACTATATTTTTATTAAATTTTATATAACGTAAAAATTTATTTTGCAAATTTAGGAATAATAATTATCTAATTAATTTTTATGTTCTATCGAATAATTCATTTATTTAAAAACGAATTTATTTTTTCTATAAATATTTTCAATTCCATTTCAATTCAATAATAAAATTTTCTAAAAATAATTTATGAAATAATACTTAAATTTTTGATTAAATTTGCTTTTGAAAGTGGTAAATTTGAAATCAAATAAATTTTAAACGAATCAATCATTTTGCCAATCGTAAGGAAATTTCAAGTGTTTTCACTATATAAAGTGATTATTTAAATATTTTAATAGTTTTATGGAGTGATTTTAAATTTTAAAGTAAATTTTAAAGTATTTTAAAAGTCGATTATTTGCTATTTTAGTTATTTTTTTTACGATTCTATGACCATTCGTTTTATTCGATCATTCGCTTGCGTTTTATTCGACCATTTTTTCCTTTTTTTTTGATTTTTAATTTTTATTGATAAAATTTTTTTAAATATTTTTTAATATTTATTTTGCTATTCTTGCCGATAGTTTTTTTTAAATAAGTTTTTGTATGATTAATTAAATAATTTTATCGAAATTTTTTATCATAAATTGAAGTAAATTTTCTTTATTCCTAAATTATTTTATAAATGGGCGACTTTTTTTTTCATAATTTTTCAAATTCACATAATAAAAATTGTATTATTTTAGTGATTTACGTGATTTATAAGTGATTTCAAATGGCGTTTGCTTTCATATTAATCGCCTTCAATTTATTCAGCACATTTAGTAAGAAAGGAAAGTTCGAAAATTTCCCAATTGAATTTTATTTTTTGAAAGAAAAATTGGTTAAAATAAAATATATATTATAAAAGTTATCAGTGGTTTGGTGATAAGATAAGTATTATTGAGAACCGAGATTTGGATTCGAACCTAACCGATGCACATTTATCAGGTTGCAATGGTACTTTGACGAAGAAAACAAAAGAAAATAGAATAGCTCAATGGATTTATTGCTCAATTCGAAGCGCCGATGCTGAGGTTCTGTTCCTAGCAGAGATAAAGTTATTTTTCAGAAAATATGAGTGATGCTGGTGACTCGCCTGGATTCCTATCGCTATGGAATTCTATGGCATATTTGTCTAACCCGACAAGCCAGTGGAACGAACATTAGCCAACAGTGGTGATTGCTCTTAGATCTTCAAAAATTTATAGAATTTGTGCTTATAAGATGAAAAATCACCATATTTGGAAAGTTCAACAATTTCATTTATATTTTCGGAAATATAATTGAACCTCGACTTTGGCTTATTTGGCTAATCCATTTCTTCGCTATTTTCACGGCTGATATTTGCTTATCGAACTTTGCATCATTCGATATTATTATTAATTTTATTTTATATTTTTTTAAAAAAACCACTGTGAGACCTGTGCATCCTCGCCTCGATGAGCCACATATGCCATATATATCAGATACCAAGCAAAATTTACTAGATGGACTTTTTTGATTAGAAGTTTCATCTTAATTGGCAGAGGAATCAATCAGCCAATCCAGAAGGTAAAAGGTGAGTGAATGAATGAGTATATTATTCACGAATCTTTTGATTTTATAAAGAATTCAATCTACGCGAGACTCATTTTTTTGGAAGCACTCATTCACCATTCCTGGATTGATCGATTTCTCTGCCAATTAAAATGAAATCTTTTCGTCAAAAAAATTACTAGAAATAGATATAAATACAAATAGATTCTTAGTAGTAAATAAATTTAATTTTTAATAGCATATTTATTCTTATCAAAGGATTGTGATCGAATAACAAGGATAATATTTATAGTTTTGTAGTTTTGTTGCTTGATTTCTCGCTTTCGTTTTATAGTGAATTATCTTTTTATCGATAAGGTCAACAAATTACGAGCATTTGTGAGTGATTCTTTTCCTGCACCCAAAAATGATGGTACTCAAATAGTTAGTTTTATTAACTATATAATTCTCTTTTAAGGTCGATTAAGGCATTCCCTATATTCAGAACTCGTAATTAACATCAGCTCTGACTATTTATGCTAATTGTACAAATTTTATTGAAAAGATACTCTACCACATCACTTAACATATAATTAGTTTATAATTGATTTTAGTAATAGAAAAATTCCTATTCGACATTTTCTTTGGCCAATATTGGCCATAAAATCGAATCAACTGGCTGTTTTCTATTATATAATGATTTTTATGCAAAAAAATTTTTTTTTAATGCTATTCATTCATTTTCCTGTCGTTTATGCTTATAAAAAATGAATCCTCCTTCTTACCAGAATATTCAAGAATATTTAATAAGAAGCGTTAGCGCTTATCATCCTTTGCTCGATTCACTTCACTAGCTGTTAATACGATTAGAAATTTTTGCTAGAGAGTCATTTAAAGGCACAAGTGAATGCACCAAGCATAAAATTTTTTTGGTGATAAATTTTTTGGTAATAAATTTTCTCTTATCGAAAGCACTATTTGAATCTTCGAGGCAATAGAACCACTCGGTTATGCTATCTTCCATGTTAAGCGGTATATCGCTTCAATTCGAGGTTTTATATTATTTTATTAGAGAATAAACTTTTTATTAAAACTGAAAATTAATTCTGAAAATGGCCGATTTTTTTTGATTCTTGATTCTCTGAAAAAATGAATCTCAGTTAAGTAGTTATTGAAGTTAGCGAAACTAAAAGTGATACTAGAAAAATATTCGATATAAATAAATAATTTTACAGATTGTACAGATTCTCTCCTGCGGGGAATCGAACCTCAACATCAGCGCTCACAGTTGAGCAACAACCCATTCTATCCCCATCTCCAATAGTTATATCATATTTCTCGTTATGGAAATTTTCTAAGATTTATTTGTAGGTGAAATGGATGCTTTTAAAAATATTCATTTTATAAAAATATTTATTAGCGAAAGAATTTTTAAAATCTCTTAATTTCAAAATTTGAAATCGACCAGTTATGTTGTATATTCGAAATATTAATAGATTTAATCTGCTAGGAGGGATATTTTTATATTTAATATAGTCAATTTTTTTCAATTCATAACGAAATTTAGTGATTAGTGATAACTTTAAAGTTCAATTTTTTTGGATTTGAAAATAGCATCCTAAATATTTGCGAAAGCACTTTTTACATTTTTTTTCGTAAAAAAAATTTGAAAATTATGAATATTTTTTTTTATTTTTTCGAATTTTTTAGTTTTTTAAAACTTTTGCTATTTTCGAAAGCGTTCATTGTCGAAGTTAATTTTTTATAAAGTAAAAATAGCAACTACAATGAAATTACAAAATGAGAAGGGCATTTCTAAGGGATATTTTTATTAAACTAAGAGATTAAAAGCTATAAAAATTATTATTTAGGATTATAAAATTTACGAGTGTGAAAATCTCGTAAAATATAATTTATTATCACTAATGAATAATAATTTTTATTTTGAATTTATGATCAATTCTCTTTTGTTTTGAATCGTTTTTTTTTCTTTTTTCTCTTAAAATTTTTAAAAATTTATTATTACAAATTTTGAATAATTTTTAATAGTTTTTTTTTGCAAAATTACGAATTTCACTATCATTAAAAAATTTTTTAACATTTAGTTTTTAAATTTTCATAGAACTTTCAAGGAATTTTTCAAAGAATCTTTAATATTCTTTTGTAAAAATATATGTAAAAATATATTATTGTAGATTAATTATAATTTATTATTAAAGAGACAATATAAATATAAAATTACAAAAATATAAAATTTGTATTGAGTTTTATAAATAAAAAAGCAAAAAAAGCAACGTTTTCTTTTTTTTCTTTTCAGCTTAACTAACGAATGATTAAGTGAAAGATTATTTAGAAAATTGTTCGAAAATGATTGTTTGGGCTTCTGATATGAAAAAGTGCAATTATGAATGATTTTTTTTGAAATTCTCGAAGGCTCGAAAGCTGCGAGCGGAAATAATCACTATCATTCAAAGGCTTAAGGCTAATAAAATTCTTAGAGAAAATGGTCTTCAAACTGAACTCTTCAAAATCTTATCCAATTTTCTTGACATCAGCTCATAATTTTACCATATCAAATTGTTATCATTTTTTTACCACTTAAAAAAATTGAGCCATTTTTGAAGTTTTGAAATTTTGTTAAAATAGTTGTTTCAATTGAAATTGAAATTTTTAAAAATCCGATATGATAACTGATTAATAATGGAATATTATTTGTGATTTTTTCTTTTCTAATAAATATCTCGAGTGATTATCTATCTATTTAAGGATAATTTTGAAGGACAGTTAATTTTTTTTATTGGAAACAACGATTTCAAGCACAAGTAGAATTAAAGAAAGTATTATTCTAACATGTTGCCATGTCGACTAATGTTAATTTCAAGCAAATTTGAATATAAATAAGCAATTTTGTTTTCCTTAAAATTTGGCGCATGATTGTCAATTTTAAATGAGAATTTATTATAATTTGACCAATTTGGTGATAAAATTTGGCGAATTTGTCATTAATTTATTTTTAATTTCATATTTACTTTTAAAAATAATTGAAATGTAACTAAAAATTAACGAAATAAAATTAATTTCGAGGATTCAAATTACATAATTTATCTTTTAATTTTTTGCAGTTCGTCTAATTGTAATTGTAATTTTAAAATTCCTTGAAAAACGGAATAACAGCATAATATTGATAATAAGCAAGAGCGATTTGCTTATATTTATTTTTTATCACCAATAGGTGTTATCAGTTATTAAAAAGTGAAAAGATGGGTGGCAGTAGCAGTACACCAAAAATAGAACCATTACTTGAACATCATCAGCCTTATCCGGATATGAATGTCATATTCAAAGGCATACCGAAAATGATACAGGTTCATTCGGATTTTTTTTATTGTATCAATGATATTGATAATTTGTCATTTACTAAAATTCTTGAATTATTTTCCAGAACGATTAGCAGAAACAATTTCTTTTTTCTCTTAAAATACGAATAGTAAAATTTTTATAGAGTTTGAATAAATTTAAAAAATTTGTCTATTAGTCCAAATTTCGGTTGGTTTTAGGTAGCTGATGATATGCATCGAATGACTAATTATATAATGGATCTAAGGAATATGACATTCGCACTGATTTGCATATCGGCTATCGGCTTATTCGTATTTTTAATATTGAAAGTAAAACAAAGTCGCAATAATAATGCTCGTCGAAAGCTTGAAATTGGTCGACGAATTGAGGTTTTCTCAATTTGCTGATAAATTTTGATAAACCTTATCAAATAAGGATAATATATGATTAAGCTAATTAAAATAAATGATTGACCAGCACTTACTATTTTTTGATTAGCTTAGTTTCACTGGCTATTATCAATTTACGATAGATTATAGTATAGCGTCTTACCCTTGTAGCCATTGAAGCCAGCGTAACCAGTAATAGTGAGAGCTGTTAGAATAAGAAGAAGATTATAGGTAAGAATTCGAAGCCAGCCTGAAAGCCTAAGTATTTACCATTGTCCTATTAAGAAAATAATTTATCAAAAATTATTTTAATAAAAATTTTTTTTAGTTGTTTTCACTGAAATTATTTATTTTGCTAAATTTTATTTTATTTAAATAGATTCATAGATTCATTTTCAAATTATAGATTTTTTAGCAATGAATTTTTAATGAATTTTTACTTCAATGGCGTTTCCCCTTTGGGAAAGTAATTCATCGAATATCTTACAATTGAATTTTTTAGGCTTTAATTAAATTCGTATCATTTCATAGGATAATATCTTAGTTTAAAAACCATAAAAAATATTAAAATATTTATTCTTTTAAAGTATTTCAAAGTACTTAATTTAAACTTTAACTATTATTTAATAATAATTTATAGAGCTTGGATGAGCGATCTTTTCCACGACATACTCATTATGGTACTTATCAGCAGAATTATGGTGATTGGCATGATCGTGGAAAACCTACAGTTTCTGTGGATATTGAAAAATTGCAAATGAATAACGGTAATAATAATGAAAAAGAGGCGTCGAATCCGACGAATTCAAAAAATCTCCCAAATGGTCAACCACATAAAGTGTGATATTTTATTATTTTTTTTGCAATTAAATAGGCTAAAATTTATAAATAAATGAATTTTTAGCTAAAATTTTAACGCTAAATTTTTTTTATATTTCTATATTTTTATATATTTTGCGTTAAAAGAGATAAACTATAGTAATTTTATGATGATCATTATAATGGATAATGTTCTAAATTTTTATTTCTTTTATAAAAGAATTTTACAATTTTATTTCTTTTTTTTTTTCTTTTTATTTTGGAAATCTTTGAAAACAAATTTGCGAAAATCGAAGAATTCGAGAAAATTTTTGTTCGGCGACAATCTATCGCAATTTAGCAATATGTTAGACGAATATGATAGCGATATATCTTTGCTATGTTTATCAAATTTTTTAGGTACCACAAGAATGAAATTTAAAATATTTTTAAGAAAAAATTTATTCATATAAAGACGTAATAAAAAACTTCAAGAAAATCGTCACCACATCGCCTTTTAGCCGAGAAATTTTCCTTTATCTTTAATCATCTTTAATCAAAACTAATCATTATGTGATATTTCTTATCACTAAAACCATAAATTGTACTTGGACTAGTAATTATCATAAAAATTCTTCTAGTTGAATAATTTTAGTATATTAATTGTAAAATCTCGGAAAATCTGTATTATTTTTTCAGCTCCGTCCGATTCTACCACTCAAACCATATCCTATTTGAGAGAAGTTACCACATCTAAGTGCATTGGAAAACTAATTTTCAACACGAAATCTCTCTTATGATTCTCCTTTGCTATAATATTTTTTTCGTATTTTAGTGCTAAAAATTTATCATAGTAGATTTGATAATTTTTTTTTTTAATTTTTTTTGATAAGTGATATTATTTGATTTTATTGCCTTATCGTTCGTTTCAGTTCAAAAAAAAAAACAATTCGAATAAATCATTTTTGAACTGAAACTATTATTCAAAAATTTTATTTTTTATTTTGTTATTTGTTAAATATTTAAATATTGTTTCAGAGATTGGAACCGATCAAATTACTTGTCGAAGATCTGCCGTATGCCGATACGTGAAATTTATACTATTTCGTATAGAATATAGAATACAGTCGAATTTGGATTATTTTCCTTTATATTATCCACGCAAATTTTTTTTTTTTACTAAAGTCTTTTAAAGTATAAAACTCGACTTGGATATTATAAAGTGAAAAATCCAAAAAATTTCGTGGAAAAAAAAGCAAAAAAGAAAAAAGTGTAAAAAATGACTAACACGCATTTGAAAATCGCTTTCATACGTCGGCTTACGTTTGATCGCACGTTTTTTTTTTTGAAATATTTTGTTTTGTTTTTTTTTTAATTAAATCATCGTTTTTTTTTTCAAGTAACTTCATTGTTATTTTGATAATTTTTTTTTCTTTTTGAAATAAACGAATAAATATAAAATATATAAAAATAAATAAATGAAGTTATTTGAAAAGTGGCAAATAAGCAATTTGTTATTGTTGTTGCTATCCCGCTGCGAAACAACTGAAACGTTTACCTTTTTTATTATTCTCATTATCCAGAAATTTTATGGATCCAGTTGGATGGCATATATGGATCGCTTACATACGTGTATTTTTATTCGGTGTGCCTTAATTTAGGTTTTTTTTTTATTAATAATTCTCTTTTGCTAAAATTTTATGAATTTGTAAAAATTTTATGTAATCGTATTTAGTTAACTTGCGATTTCTATGAAATATAATAGTAATAATAATAATAATAATAAATAGACATAAAATAATAATAAATAGACATAACAAAAATAATCAAAAGACATGACAAAGAATTTTTTCCAGGTTTTCTCTTCCAACATCGCTCATATTTCGATAATTTAAACAAAATTTGATAAAGTGATAAAATTTGATAAAATGAAAAAAAATGTTTAAAGCCATAGTTAAAATCATAAAATAAAAGGTTTTAATTTCTATAACACTTATAACACTCAATTTTAAATAAATTAGTTCTTGAAGACTAAATTTTCTTTTATTTTTTTTTTGCTTTATTCGAATTTTTTTCAGAATTATTTTCTATCTATCAAGTCCTAAGTCCAAAGTTTACTATGGCCGAGTCCAGTCCAGTCCAGTCCAGTCCAATCTCAGTCCGCTTCCTTCAATGCATGATAAACTCCGGAGAGTTCAGAGTGTTTTTATTCCAATCCCTAAATTTATTGCTATATTTTTACACGAGATTCGACAAAATATAAGTTTTATACTACTAATATTTTGAATATAATAATGGTGTCTGTTCATATTTTGCTTAAGAAAAAAGAATAAAATCTCTTTCATTTGTCATTCGTATCAAATAACGAAAGACCTCTCAATGAAATTTGGATTTCTAGCAAAAATCATGAATTAAAATAATTAATTAAAAATGAATAACTGAAGAGATTCGTTTAATAGTTTCATAAACACTGAAATCGTACAATGATTTTCCAATACTTTTGACGTTGAAATAAAAAAATTATCGAAATATTTTTCGAAATCTAAAAGAGAAAATTTTCCCATTTCTGATATTCCTTATTGCAATTCTCTTCGTTTAGAGGATAACTTTTAATATAAAAGGAAAAGCAAATAAAAAATCAACATTTACTAAATTTGTATATTAAAAATTAAGATTAAAAAATCCTATAATATGGAAAAGAACAAATTCTATTAGAAAACCTATGCGATGCCAAAAAAAACCTAAAATACAAAAAAATTAAAATATGCGCAAACAATGAGGTTAAAACAAACCAAAAAAAAAAAAACAATAACACAAAATAATATTAATACAATATTGCTGGTGAATACCTACGATGAATACCAAATTTATTGCATGAGTGTTTTAATAAAAACATCTTATATATAAAAATATTTAATTCTATGCAATTTCACTAACTAAGAATTTCACTAAGAAAGCAATCTTAAAATAAATACTCAATGATCCAATAAATAGGAAATTCATTTAAAACACATCACCCAAATTCATTTAGAAGAGAATCTATATAAAGATTTGAAGATTTATATAATGCTTAAAAATTAAAATTATCAGCATTGATAGTAAATCGAAAAAAAAGAAAGGAAACAAATGAACAACACTCATAATAATTAAAAACTATCCGTATCGGAGGTAATCACATAAAATAAAAAAAAAAACTTACTCTACTTGCAGCCTAACGATTCACTTAAAATATAAATAATATGCTGTCTGCACAATAAAATTTGCACAAACAAAATAGAAAGAAAACCCGGAAATCCAAATTGATTCACAGTTAAATTAACATAATAACTAACAACTGGAAAAAATGTAAATACAATCAATGCTTATTAATTAATAAATTAATCAATTAGTAACGATGCCGAATTCAAATAGAATCGGGCATAAAAAATAATATAAAAAGCCGATTAATAAAGAAATGATGAAAATGAATGAATGATTCGCCATAAGAAAAAAGAAGCCAATAAGATAAAATTCAATGGCAAGCATAATTCATTGAACTTGGAGACGGGACTGAATCGAATCAGCAAAATTAGATTGCATTGTAGAAGCATTACTTGAAGTCGCACTCAACAATGACGTGCTAGTTGGAAAAGTAGCACTGTGAGATTGATAGTCACCTGCCATCGAAAACGGAGTTAGAGCATCAAACGATAACTGACTAAAATTTCAATATTTTACAAAATAACCACAAAAGAAAACAAATTGAATGGAAAATTTATGCTAAACCTTAGACATAAATCCATTCTACGACATAATAAAAAATAATAAAAGGAGAAAAAATTTATAATTTCGATGGAGCTTGAGGCTACCTATTGAAGAGGAGTTAAATTTTAAAAAAAGCATAAATTATGGCTAATTGTGGGAAATGTGGGATGAAAGCATGGAGATATATTCTAAAGTAGGAGTAAAAATAAAAATAGGATGAAATAATAATATAATATAATAATTATGTGATGTAATGTACCTTTGATTTTCACTGGTGATAAAATTACTAATTTTAGCTTTATTAACTGAGAAAAATATATATATTTATATTCTTTTTTAAATCTAGATCTAAGTTCTATCAAAAAATAATATAAATATTGAAGAGGAGGTGAGAAAAAAATCCATGCCATAAATGTGCCTTACTAATTATCAGATATGAAGCTGGTATAGTGAGGTGGCCAAAAGAAGACATGGACGATGTGAAAACATATAAAATCCCCAAAATGCACAGCAATTTTCACAAAGAAAGCGTGCGAAAAAAGTGAAGAATGGTGAGCATCAAATCTGCTGGCTTGAATGAAACTTGAAATATTCAGGAAATAAAATGACACCAAAGGATGAACTACTGAGAGAATGTTCGATGTATCAACAGGCACTGAAGAAACCAAGTACTATGATGGGAGGAAGTGGCAAAGTAATACCCTCCATGGGAAGCATCAACGACAGCTGAATTGGATGATACTGAGAAATTTTACCAATAGTTTGAAAAAGCTGGACTGAAAGATTGACTGCATTGATCGTACCAACACAAAAGCAAGTATAGAGTACCAGATCTATCAAAGCAAGGATTTACCACAACAGACAGGACTTAAAGTGCAGAATATGCAAAAAAGCCTCAGAAAATGTGCAATATAGTGATAAGATGCAAACAGGACTATATATTGAAAGGTAGAACCAACTAGTTGACACTGTCTACAGGAATATCATCTTATATGGCTTAGACTCTACTAAAACCAGATGGCAGATTTTAAAATTGTAAAAAACACAAGAACATAAGGCGGAGATCCTGTGGGAAATTGCTATCCAGATAAACAAGTAGACCAGATATCATGATGGTAAACAAGAACCATCGCAGTTCATGGATCCATAAAGAGTTAGTTAAACCACAGGCTTAAAACGGATAAAAAAAAAATTATTTTCCTTTACATATTTAGCTTTAATTATTCATGTCATATTTCCTTTTGTATTTTATACCAATGTTATTTATGTCACTTATTTTTTTCACTTTTTCACTTCATTTTTTTTCACCTCATTTGTTGTTATTAATCCAAGCATATAGTGCTTGTCGTCCTACATGGTTGCTTTTTAAACAAATTCAAATAAGGTGAAATATGAAGTATAACAGAAGTTGTGATATAACAACCGCTTTTTATAAGTTTACACACTGATGGCACCATTATACTATATTCATAATTAGGCTTTAGGACAGATCTGAAGGAACGAATTATGCCTATTTATGAATGTATTATAATATTTACAGAATATACCAAAACTATAACAAAAAAACTGAAATTTATTAATGTTAAAATTTTATATTTACTAACTTCATAAATAAGTTGTAATCAAGATTAGGTGATTGCATAAATGTGCTAACTGTTGATGACGCATTAGCACCAGGAGTTATCGGACTACCCGTTGGCGAAACGAATATTGGTGCTGTTATTGAACCGTTCGGATGGCGTATTGGTGAAACAAGGGTCATTGGAGTGAGCAATCGAGGAGTTTCTGCAAAACAAACAATACAAATTTGTTAAAAAAGTTTAATTCATAAAAAAATATAAAAATGAGTTGCAATATATTAAAAAATAATATACGCATAGAATATTTGTTAATTGGTCTGTAAGTTCCATTGATTAAAGCCAGTTCAATCAGTTGTTTGCGTTTTAGCTCATCAGTTCCTTCCGGCTATAAAAAAATCAAAATTTTTCATGGATCAAATTATCAATACGATATATTAAAAATATATCCTGATTTCGATTAAAAGAGCCATCAATTAATGCCTTTTTTTTGTTTAACTATTAATTACAATAATTAATTGAAAAAAACAGACTGCAGGAATTAGAAGTTTTTTGATTTGGTCGACAGCAGATTGTAATTTGATATAGGCACGATTTGGAGTATCGTCGCATTGTATTAAAACATGCAATTCATCTTCCAGATGTTCCCAATTTGGTTTTCCTCTATTCAATTCTTCCTATAATTTTAATCAAAATATTTTCATATTTTTTATAAAATCATATTTGACTAAAACAATGAAATAAAATATAAAAATAAAATAAAAAACAATGGAAAAAAACTAGTGAAAAAAGCTTAAAATAAAAAAACATATAAATTCGAATAATCAAATAATATTTCATAGTTTCTTTTTCAGACAAAAGAAGAATTGAAGGAGACTATATTTAAGGCAAAGAAAAAAGCTGCAAAAATGAGCATAAAATAATAAAAAGAAAAAATACCCTTTTACGGTCACGCATTGAGCCACGACCTCTGACCATAATTTTACAACCTGTCTCACGTTCAAGTTGTTTAGCAGTCATACCTCGTGGACCAAGTATGCGCCCAACAAAATTATACTGAAAATTTCTAGAGATAAAATCCTCTTTTCTATCCAACTGAAAAAATGTACATTTTAAATTCATTAAAATTTCTTAAATTTTTAAATTTAAATTTTTGAGCAAGAAAAAATCCAAAAACATGCGTCAGGATGGTCTTTTCGTGGGACATAAACTTTCTCTTGTATCGTTATTGGTTCTCCTTCTGGCTCAGGCAAATCGCGATGTTCAATCGCAAAATGACACTGAAAAAGTGCCATTCGAACACGACCAATTTCTACAATTTCAGACAATAATTAATCGAACATAGTTTAAAGTTTAAATAAATTTTCTAAAATATTCGAAAGTAAAAGAAACGACAAGATATATTTGAATAATCTTAGACTAGCCTTCCTCAACCAAGCGTTCAATATGGCGAAAAACCTGTGGGAAAACGCCCAACTGCTTTTTTTCTTTAAGAAGATCAGCCAAATACTCCATAGTATAATCAGAACCAGATATTTCTTCAGATTTCGTCGTCAGACCTATCCGAAAAATTTATTACCAAAAACGTTCTCTCTCGAATAGTGTGCATAAATGAATAAATAAACCTTTTTCACATCGTGAAGTAGCAGCTGGCTTCTTTAATATTTTCTGTGGCGAGAATGGATGAAATGACTAAAAAAATTGGTTATCTTTTTAAAAATTCTGCATCATTTTCTGTAAGATTTCAACAAGATCATTATTTATTAAAATAATTTAATTATTTATTAAATTCTGTAAGGAATTGTCAATTTTTCGTTGAAAAATTTCATTTATTGTGTGATTTTTTAAAATAAATAATTACTAGGAACCTCAAAATCCTTAAAAAGTTTCATAAAAGGTGAATTAATAGAATTGTAGAGTCCAGTGGATTTCGACGAAGCAATTTCCATTGTAATATTCTTAGTCCTAAAACAAAAATTAAAAAATAAAATTAAAAAACTAAATTAAAAACTGAATTAAATAAAACATAAACCAATTTGTTATTTTGAAGCCAACGTAAGTGTAATGTCTAAAGTCAATAATATAATAAGTAAATATATAAGTAAGTATATACATTATTAATTCCAAAATTAGCAACATTTTTTCACTAAAGGAATCTTTTTAAAAAAAAATATCGAAAATATCGAAAATCTTTTTGATTTTTTAAATTTAAAAAGAATAAAATAATATAAAATAATTCTCGAAAAGTTGAAAATTTTGGAGGAATTTTTACTACGAAATCTTTTTTCCTTTCGCATATTTTCATCAAACGAAGAAAATAAAAACCATGAAAATTTCAATTCACTAATTCAACTAATTTTCAGAGAATAAAACAAGAAATAAAACCGAATTTCTGCATTATTAATTGCAGCGAATGATATCAGATAAGATAATGACAGCGATATTACCAATAGTTGGTGATAAGTCTGTTGATAATCGACAGAATTTGATATGAATAAGTTAGGAAACAAATATACAAATGACCCGTCTTATTTCGACCAATTCACCTGAAATAAAATCGAAATCAACCACAATATTAACCAATTCACTAATGAAATTATCCTTTCTAATCGAATAAATTCAAAAATAAAAATTACAGAAAAATAAATCGATGGTTACTTAAAACAATGAATGAAGAAATTTCCAATTTTTATAGGCCCTCTCCTCGACTTATGTGACCTTTTTGTTGTCGAAATTCGCTTTTACACTTTAATTTATTCACTTCGTAAGGTCCTCCTTTATCGACAATTAGCATAAATTCCCTTCTCTCTTTTCATTAACGTTTTTACATATGCGAAGTGTACAAATCGCCAAATTCTACACCTTTGTTGACCTTTAACCCGTAAAAAGTACAATGCGTACACTTTTCTTTCCACATTTCCTCTTTATTTTTATGATTTTTATTACAAAATTAATTGGAAAAAAATAATAAGAATTAATAATAACGACGAAGCACCAAACACGAGCAAAAGGAAATATTAAAATAAAAGATTTTTAGGCAAAAGAAAGTAAAAAAAATGATACAAAAAAACCAAAGTACAATGTACATTTTTTTTTTAATATAATAAATAATATAATTTATTGAACTTTTATTTTTAGGTGAAAAATTTTTGCAGAAAAAATTTTTTTTTAAATTTTTTATAAAATATTTTTTTATTAAAATTTATTGAAATAAATAATTTTTTGAATAAATTTCCCTCAAATTTTAATAAAAATTATGAACAAACGAAAAAAAAAACGGATGATGAAAAGCTCGGAAACCTTGGAATCTGAAACGAAAAAAAATTTAAATATTTCAAAAACGTTCAAAAACGTGGCATCCTAACACGAAAAATCTTAGATTGTTTTGGTACCAATCTATATCGATTAAAAGTATGTACTGCAAGAACTCCGCCCATACTTCTCTTTTTTCTATGATTATTATCTGAACTGAATTCTGAGAAGCAAACCTCCATAAGTACCACAGAACGTATCATTTCGTCCAACTCGATGAATCTAAATCAATTTAGGAAGAAATATGCAGTATTTCTTGGTGCAAACAATACATTGATGGCGTTATTTCGAAGAAATTTTTTTGAAAAATTAACCGTTTGATAAATTTGCTGAAAAAAATTTATCGAAATTAATTTCAGAATGGACGATTATTTACGAGTATTAAGAAAATTATCAGGAGAGATAAGGATTTACGCTTCAAAAATAGTTTTAAGAGGAGATTTATAGGATAAAAAAGGTCTACTCGGCTTGAGGGTAAAAGGAAGTAGGAATTTAACTCGGTTGGGGAGGGGGGGGGGGGGGGGGGGGGGGGGGGGGGGGGGGTTTGGAAGAGGAGGTTTAACGTGAATCGAGATAGGAGTCTAGAATGGCATATTAACCTTTCTTTCTTTTGGACATACTAATGTGGTAAATTATCATAAATTATTAATTATTATTATTAATTTTCCTTATCAATATTGATTTCAGATATGCATATTCGTGTAGAATTTAACGATTTTTCAATTCGATCTTTATGGTTAATTTAAAATCTTATTTAATGGTAACAATGGTACCTAATGGTAACAAATCACTTTACAGTAGTTAAACTATTAGGAAACGAGTCATTTGTTGGTGAAAGTGTACAGTTAAGTATTTTTCCTTCCCAACAAATGAATTTTTCAGTGGAAAGTTTATTCCTATCGAAGATCGAAGAAACCTCACATATTGGTCAAATTCGTGAAAGCGGTAACAATATGAGATCAATTTAGCCCAGCCTAGCCTAGCGAGAGAGGAATTTCACATTTTTAGGATTTGTCTTATGGATGAAGGACTTATGAAGGATTTTATCTAAGCAAAATGATGACTTTTATTTGTCAATTATGGAAAGAACAATCACCATCAGAGCAATTTTATTCTCGAGAATGAATGTCGTTCTGGTATTTTTAATTTCATCGTACACAACAGTGGTCGTCAAACCGGCTTCTACACATTCCTTAGAGGTTCGTGGCGACAAAGGGGTTCTCAGGATCTGATCTGCGAGATGTGTGGATATGCGAAAGGTATCTAATTCGATTTATATATATTTTATGAGAATTATTTTTAATGACATTTTAATGCAGTTTGTTTAATTATGTTTTGGCTGGAAAAATTTAATATTTTAAAATTTAAACAATTTAAAAATATTGCACTTGGAGTTCACGGATTTTTTATGATGGTTTATGGTACCCTCCAAAAGGGTTCAATGGAAAGAAATGTTTGACGACCACTTAATATACAGCAATGCTTGAACATATAATAATTAATAAAACACTAGCGAACAATTAATTAATTAATAAAACTTATCAAACTTATCAAACTTTGAAATATTGAAATATCCATAAATGATAGAATAATTTTAATAAATAAAATTTTAATAAAATAATAAAATATTTTATAAAAAATAGAATATTTTTAAAAAAATCTTTGATTTAATAAATGATAGAATTGCTCAGTGGGTTGTTGCTCAATTGGGAGCACCGATGCTGAGGTTCGATTCCCCACAGGAGTAAACCTGTTCAAAAATCCGGATGTTGCTGGCGACTCACCTTTATCTCTATCGCCAAGGCACTCCCTGGCATATCGCCCAATGCGACAAGCTAGTGGAGCGAGTTTAGTCACTAATGGTGAGGACTCTTAAAAAAAAAAGGAAAAGGTTAATTAATTACGCTATTTGTAGGTTACTTAGGTTACTTACCATTTTATTTACTTATTTACTTACTTATTTTTAATAAAACAAAAGAAACAAAGAAACTACAATGGTGAGAATTATATTAATTATCGATTTTTTTGATTGATTTGAAAAAAATTTCCAAAATTTGCATAATTTTCCATTGAAAATTTCAAAAATTTTGTAGCAATACGAAATAAAAATTAAGAAAATGAGGGATTTTAACTTTTCTTCTTAAATGATTTACCTTATATAATGGGAAAAATCAAAAAAAAAAAAAAATTTTACTTAAATATTTTTACCATAATTTATTTATTTAATATAATATTTCTTAATTTATTTTTTAAATATTAAAAAATAAAAAAATACAAGCAGTAAAATAAAGTAATAAATAATAAAATATTTACAAAAAAATGTAAGCAATTGAGATAAATAGATTGAAAATGAAACTAAAAGCTTTTTAAAAATTGGCCGACGTAGAATTTAGAATTAGATTATTTACGATTGTATGGCACACAATAAATAAACGATGAATGCTAAAAATAGTATTTAAGTAATTATTGAGCCTTTTAAAAGTTTAAAAATTAAATAATTGTAAATTTTAATTCAGAAATGCTCATAGCAATTAATCAAGGATAATACTAATCTTTTCTAGAAAAAAATAAGCTACGCTACAGTACGTAGGTTTTAGATACAATATAGTAAGCGATTTAGCAAACGCTCTTGGCTATGTTTTACAAAATTTAAGCCTTAAAAATATAAAATTATAATTGATCGCGCTTAGAACGATTAGCTGATACAATTATAAAATTGCAAATATGATATGAAGCACCGAATGTTTAATCCAAAAAATCTGGATTTAATCATATCACGAGGCATTACAAGTGAAATTAATTTATTATCATACCAGCTATGAATCCGAATACTACTGCAAATATTGATGAGAAACTGAATGATCAATTACGATTCCAGGAGATGCTTCTATAAATAAAGAGTTTTGAAGTTCGCTTTGCATAGTTGTTGGTTCTAAGCCTAATAAGGCTCCAGCTGGAGCCAGATTTCCATCTGGTGTTCGCCCAAAATTATTATCAATATCTGTAAAACATAAATTTTTTAAAAAAATTCCAATCCCATTGTAGAAGAACCACTCGTAAAAAAATAAATTGCTCCCTTTTAATCATTTATTATCAGATAACTAATAAAAAAAAGAAGATAATGCGTGAATAACCACGTCGTTTTTTAAATGAAACCTATTGACTAATTACAAGATGATGTTTTGCATAAGGACATGATGTGTGAGTGCCATAACCAGTTTTCAATTAAGATCAAGCCATCATAAATTCATTGATAGAAATAAGCCTATTAGGTACAAACCAAATAATGCTGGAGACTATTTCGTCTGCTAGTGCAAAATAGCAAAGGCATAGCTTCTAAAAGGCCGGTGAAACCAACCACACCAAGATTTTATGCAATTATTATACAAAAGACTTAATTAAAAAAATATTCATGTAGGCGCTCATTTCGGGTTAGGTTTGTTCCATTAGATTCTTGCCAAGGATCGTTTGGTGATAGGAATAGATAGATGGTTCGTTAACGATAACCTAATTATTTAATGGCTTAGATTCTATGAAGATATGAGAACATGGAAAATATAAATTGTTTCTACTGGATATGATAACGAATATGAAGTTTATTACCATATCCTACATCTGACTGACCATCACCATCAATTGAAGTATCCACATAACCACTCGTACCTTTAAAAAATTGGAGATTCGAAAAGAAAATAATTGCCGTTGACTAGTTGATTTTATTATCATTTTGTGAAAATTATTGTTATTGAATCATAAACTAACCAAATAAGGGACTTTGACAAAGACTGCCATCTGGTGAAGCACTATCACTGTCTAATGCCTTGTTCATGCCATATGCAGCCCATCTTCTTCCTGCATCCTTTTTTAATCGCTTTTCTTTAGCTCGCCTATTTTGAAACCAAACCTTAAAATAATACCAAAATAATGATAATAATACGTGATTTCAAATCACTGATCCTCAGTTTTATCATGTTTTTACTAGGACTAAATTGAAGATATATTTTGAGATTTCAAAAATGACAAGTGAATTTTAAGGTAAAATGCTAAGAATATATATTTCGGCATGGATAAAATGGGAATATAATAAAATATAATAAATATTGAATATAATAAAAGAAACTGTGATATAGAAAATACAGTTATGATAATTCTACTATTGACACCACTTGTATTAACAGTCCATCACAGAGCGTTACCTTCATTGACTGCGACATATTCTTCGTCGTGCACCAGATGAGTTGACACATATTTCGCTACTTGCTAAACCTTGTGATGGATGGCGTCAAAAGCGAGGTGGGCCAATCAAGACCTGGACTGATACATACAGTCAGGAAAGATTTCGGACGTATAGAGGGACTAGCGATATATACGGTGAAAAAAGGAATGACTTCTATTACTATCAAAGATGGCATCAGATCGTGTAGCTTGGAAATGTCTTATCCTTATAATTAGGCAAGAATTAACTTAACCAATAATGGTGAGAGTTATTAGAAGAATTCTGCTATTCCATTTTAAATATTGAATAATACCAATTCTGCTGTATCTGTTCATATAAAAAAAATACCTTTATGATTCTCTGTAGCCGGTAAGTATCACCCTCAACCTCGGGACCTCTAACAGATACGTGGGGTATTGAGGATTCTGAGCAATATCTTAATCGTTCCTAACACTGCACTCTTCTGAATAGAGATCTCTGATATTGTTCCTGGGATCTATTGAAGCAACTTTTCTAGTTTAGGTGTCACAATTTCTAGTGCTGAGACCATTTTAGCCTTCATTTTCTAAACCTCTTCCAGGTATTTCTCTTGCTTCTCATTTATTTTTCCTGGCATTCCTGCCATTCACTATATACCTGTCACCAGTGCTGATTTAATTGGCCAATATTTCTTTGTCGAGATAGAGAAGTCCCACAGAAGCTTTCTGCGATTTTCTAGGGAATTTCCCATCTAAACTTAGGCCATGTGCTGAGCAGATAATCCTATAGATGCCAGCTATTTGGTATGCCCTTCAGGGCATATTATTCCTACTTTATATTATATATATATATATATATATATACAAATTTTAAAGAGTTCTCACCATTACTGGTTAAACTTGCTTCGATGGATTGTCGCACTGGACAAATACGCCAGAGAGCCCTTTGGTGATAGAAGTAAAGGTGAGCCGCCAGTATTACCGAGATTTTTGGACAGGTTTATTCCTGTCGGAAATAAATAGAGATGTTTCCATATATATATATATATATATATATAGAAAATTTCTGGTGCAATTTCATTTTATAAATTTTCCCTTATTTGTTATTCTAACAACAATCACTATTTCTGGTTTTCTTGGCTTTACTGATTACTGTGATGAAACTTTTCGCCAAAAATATCACTTGGAGGCAAGGATATAAGGGAATTTCGGGCAATAGCCATTTCATTTTAAATAATAGGCTTGTTCTATCAAAGGGACCAGAAGGGCCTAGATACGTTAATTGATGCATCAACATATTTCTCGGCATCACTGACCATTTCTCCGATATTTTCAAGAATTTTTGGAGTTTTTTTGAATTTTGATTCGAAAGCAAATTTATTTAGAAAATCATATCATAGAAGTATAGAAAATCATAAAAGTAAAGCATGGCTGAAATTGTTTGTTTAATTTCTTAGAACAGATTTTACATGAATAGTAATGAGACATGCAATATTGATGAATGAATGGATCTTGGAACTAACCTGCACAACTCTCATATCTAAACCCGTATCAGCAGCTAGTTGCTCTCGTATATGTCTTGCTGGTTTCGAACTTGTCTGATACGCTTGTTTAAGCGTTTCTAAACTTTTCGCTGAAATAGTTGTCCTTGGTCGTTTTGTATTTGAATCCACATCTGATTCTAAAAAGTAAAATCAAAAAAAAAAATTTTTAAATATTTTTTAAATTATTTTAAAAATATTCTTAAATATTTCTTTCAAGTATTTTAAAAATATTTTTAAATATTTTTAAATATTTTTTTAAATTTTTTTTATTTTCAATATTTCCAATATTTTCATATATTTATTCTTATAAAATTTATAAAATTATTCTTATAAAATTCTTATAAAATTATTAAAATTCTTATAAAATTTTCTATATTATTTTAAATTTCAAAGTAAATATTTTTCACTTTAAATATTTATATTTTTTTCAAAATATTTATTTCGCCCTTTCAATAAGATGCAATAGTAATTTTTATTGAACTATTATTAGTCAATATTAATCGTGTAATTTTACTTAAACTGAAATGCTACTAATGCTACTAAGCGCTTCTAATTGGCAAAATTTTTTGCATTGAACTGAAAATTAATTATTGAAAGTGAATTCGAATAGACAACAAGAAGCAAGCAATAACTACGATACATGCATATAAAATATCAATCTTTTCCTTCTTAATTTAACGATTTTCTTTTTTTTTCCCTTTTAAATTACTTCTTTAACTATTAAGGAAGAGAGAGAAGCGCATCGATTTATATTTCAATACGATACGATACGAAATAATAAGTCTGAAAATGAAAATGAGAAATGCTAAGGTGTGGCTAATCTCATATTTTCTATTGAATATTACGGTGATATTTAATATTTCAATTTCAAATTTCTCTTTAAAAAATTTTTCTCTTTAAAGAAAAAAAACATATTTTTTTTCATAAAATTTCATCAAAAAAGAAATTTTTTTTTTTCAAAGAGATAAAAAAAGAAAAAAATTTTTTTTTTTTTGTTCAAAATATCTCATTATTCCTTTATATATTTATATATAAACTATATTTTATATATTTATTATATTTATATTTTATATATTTATTATTATATTTTATATTTTATATATTTATTATTATATTTTATAGTTTATATATTTTTATATATTTTATTATATATATTTAAATAATCTAAGGAATGAACTCTGAAACTCTGACATATTCCTTTTATTCTCACATCATTGCAATCACCTAACCTGGCTAAAATATCGCATTCTTTCAGGGATTTATATATATTTTTAATAGCTTCTTAAATCCACTTTTTTTATTCAAAAATCCTCTCTATACGCGTAGAATAAGAAAATAAATTAGTGATTAAATGTTCTCACTGGTATTGCTTAAATTAGTTCCATTTATTTACTAATATAATGAGAAAGACGGCTATTAAGTGATCGAAATAAGATCACTGATTTCTTAATGATAAATTTATTTCTGCTAAACATTTCGAGAGAGTTCAAATGCTCGATGCTTTAGACCATAATTTAAAGCAGAAGTAACTATTATAACTACAAAAATGAAATAATTCATCAATAATTCTAGTTATGTATTGAATTTTATTTTCGATAAAATTCTATTCTTAATAAATTTTATATTTAATAAAATTTCATTATTTCGCTAAAAAATAAATTATAAAAAATAAAAATAAAAAAATTATAATAACAGAAATCTTTTAAATATGCAATATGAAGAAATAAGCCAGGCGAGTTAACTAATAAATTTCATCTGATCAGTCAAACATGCAATTAGCAACTCATTCTAACGATACTTTTTACTTGCAAATCTATAAACATAGATTTCATTTCTTTTATCAAATTTCTTTTTTTTTTGGTACTTAATAATGAAATTTAAAAACAATAAACAATTGATAATAATAAAATTTGCGAAAAAATTCTACGACCTTTATTTTTTGCCATTTCATAATCTGATTTACATACAAGTCGTCCATCGTTGGGAATCAAGTAAAATTCTTCGCCAGTTCTCAATTCACGTTTGCAAATAACACATTGAAAACATTCTACGTGATAGACATGCTCATTCGCACGACGTACGATCGTATCTGGGCATATACCTTCTTCACATTTAGCACATTTAGTTCCAAATAACCTTTAAACAGCATTCGCTTGATATAAAAATAATAGACAAAATCATTAATATTATTGAATTATTATATTTATAATCGTTTACTCGTAATTATTTTTACTCCCATATATTCCTACCCTAACTGGAAATCAAGCTGAAGAAGCATGATAGTCGAATTATTTCGTATTGTGTGCTCAATTCTTCTTTCCAGACTAAAGTATAAGTGAATGATTAAAAGTGAAATCGGTGTGGTGCTAAAGACACTTTATTTGTTTCTATCACCAAGTGATTTCCTCAGCCTTTCATCCTGGCTGTCGATGGAACTAGGCAAATCTGAATTGGTACTATTGGAAAATTTTTAGTTTGAGGTTAAACGAATCGGTGATTTTGGTGATCTTTTACAAATTAGCGTGCAGTATTTGACATAAATTTAACTATTCGTATATAAATTTCTATGACAAAAATTAATAAGAATTTCGCTATTAAAAAAGAACAAAAAATTGCCAACAGACAAACAAAGTGCAAGGAGGACAAGAATAAACCTGACAGATTCCGAGTGGTGCTATTAACCGAATTGCACTTGTATCGCCAAGTAAAACTCTGGCAAAAATTTCTAGCCATATTATCAGCCAACGTGCCTAGTACAAGTGGCTAATCACTTAGTTTTTATTTAAATTGAGGAAATTACTTGTAAAAATGCTCTTTGCAAAATGGTTTGCCATTTTTTAAATAGCATTTCGATGAAAGCAGCTTATCGCAATGTTCGCATCTTAAACAATGTCCATGAAATGACTGGTCTAATACTTTAAGTATAAAACGATCTCGAATTGGTGATTCGCATTTTCCACACATATACAGGATACAGTTTTCTGAAAATTATCATGCATCTATTGATTTCAATATGAGAAAGCAAAATAATTCTGATAATTTAATGATAATGATAATAAATAATAATTTAAAACGTAACACGATAGTTAATTTTAGGCTATCATTTGTTAAAAAAAAAATACTTGTAGCCTCTTTGATATGTAAATAAACTTAGTTAGTAAGCTGTTTAAGTTGAATCATTTGGTATATTTTAGGAATTTTTTTAGGACGACAAAAATGTGAGTGGGCACCAAAAACCACCTGGGTTTTTTAAAACACTTATTTCTATGAAAGGAATTTTTATTCTTTCTTGCTTTCAAGTATTTTAGTATAGCTGGTTGGATTATCATCTGAAGGCTTGAATTGGTAGTTTAAACAATATAGCACCAGGCTAAAACAAAAAAAAAATCTTTTTAAATTATTAAATTATAATTTAAAATATTATATTAATAAAAAATTATTTAAATTAAATTATCGAATTATAAAAAAATAATTAATTATTTTTATTAATTATCTTAATTTCTTGACGTAAATCTTGACGTATGTCCGCATGAATTCACCCTATACAATATTTTGCACTGATGCTTTAAATTAATTTCGAATTACAATAAACTGAAAACTGAGCAGTAGAATAAATTGAAAACTGAGCTAAGAGTTAGGAACTGTGAAAATATCAATAAGTTACAAAAATTCCTTATCATTTCATTAGTATGATAATGAATAATTTGTATATATATAATTTATATATATATATATATATATATATAATTTGTATATAATTTATTAATAATTTTGAATAATTTCATAAAACTACTGATAATCATAATCAAAATAATATCAGTAAAATATTTTTATATTAGCATGGTTATTTAAAAAAGATTATAAACCTTCGATAAACCTCTTTAGACATTTAAGATTTCTATAATCCTAATCTAATATTTTTCTTCTAATAGCAATCAATATTTCCGATTTGGTTAGTTCCACAGGCTATTACAATGAGACGCCCTCAGTAAAAAATAGCCTCATTAATCTTAAATAATTATGAAATTCATTTCAATGAATATTTTTGAGAAAAAAAAAATCTCAACTAATATATTTTTGTATTATTATCATATCACATTATTGTTTTTAAGTTGAATTTTGAAATATTATTCTCAATAGCTTTCGACTTAACATATTTTTCAATTCATATTCAGTTATGACTGATGGATATATAATTTTAGCTCACGAAATTCATGATTAATTCAGATAATGGGAGTGGTAGATGTCAAGTGGATAAAGAAATGGATATTCATTAAAGCATATGAAGATGAATATGGATAGTAAGTTCGAAAGAAAATTCATAAACAGCGACAATTCATTGCTGACCGATTTTCAATAGACATCAACATTGACCCACTGTTGACTTCACTGTTCAACTTTGTATATCTGTTGTTATGTGTTAATGTTATTATTATTATTATAAAGAAGAAATAATATAAATATTTTCATAAAATAATTAGAATAATTAGAATATATATATATGTTTCCCATGAAATTTAAACGATATAATAAATTATATTGGGAATATTTTTCAGTGAATTTTTATACTCATTTCCTGGCACTATTATTAACTTAACCTAGCAAAAGAAAATCTGTCTTTTAAGATATTTCGGATAATGCAGGTCGGATGAAATTGGTGAATATAAGGAAGATAGTTTAACCGTAAATGGTGAGCACGTTTAGAAGAAAAAAAAAATATTGTGGTAAATTAAAAAATTTACAATAATTCTTTTTTAATTTAATAATTTTATAATAAATTTTAAATCTCGAACAAAAGTTTATTTTTTCGATTTCAGAGATCAGCATTGCGACTAAATCGAATAAATTAGCAAAATGAAACACTAAAACTTTGAATAAATTAAATGTCGAAGAAATATCGATAAAAGGTCAAAGTTGAGCAATAATATCGGGTGACCTTCAAAGCATTTAGTGTAGCGATAATGGGTTAAAAATAGGGATGGGAATGGGGGGTTTCGGGAATGGGGGGGGGGGCATTTATAGTTATTAATGAGAACAAAGCCGAAGAACAAAAGTTTTATATCAAAAATAATTTTCTCTTTTAATAGATCTAATTGTGAACTTAGAAAAAATTCCCGAAAATTTTGTATAAAAAATAACAACCATTGAAAATCATTGACATAAATTGAGCAATAGGATTAATTAGAATAATAGACAGTTTTATCGATGTTCTAACTGAGCCATAAAGTCATGTTGAGCGCTCGTAAAAGCTACGGTAGGGAGAGTGTTGGATGCTTTTAAAACGGCAAGTCTAGAATAACACCAATAATGGACGATAATCAATGGCAGATGGTATTCTGACAGCTCACCTGGAATAATTTCTTGATTCTCGAAAGCGATATTTTTCACTCGTTCTTCACTTAAAAAGCTTTTACTACTCAAATTTTTTTTTTTTATGGATTTACAGGTATAATAACGCTTAACAAATATATTCATTTTTTAGAATTTTTTTTTTCATAAATTAATATAAATTTTATTTTATATATTTCATTTTAAGACATAAAAAAAAAATGAATAAATGAAATTCAACAGCTGTTATAATAAAATAAGATTTGCGTGTTGGCATATTTTAGGAATGTGTGATTCACTAGTTGGATTCTGATACAAGTAAAACTCATGAAAAAATTATTTTTATGGTTTGGCTGACCCTATGGATTGAAGATTATAACTCTTTCTAAAGGATCACAAGGCTAATATTCTCGCCTTCTGACGGCTCTCACTATTATCGCTTAGACGGGTTTCGATGGCTATAAGAATAAGGTGTTTCTAAGCCGCTCGATCTGATGCCATATCAAATGCCATAGTAACAGAAACCAGTCTTTTTTTCATCGTCTAAGTTCATATATCACTGGTCCCTCCAAAGACTTTCTTAACTACATCAGGTCTTCACTGGTCTTCATCGTTTTTGATTTCATCTATCATAGGGCTTAGCTTCATAAGACTATAAAGTTGTTAAACAAGTTGTTAATAAAGTTGTTAAACTTTCGCCAAAACCTATACCATGTTATTAAATATTTAAAATGTTGTTTATAAGTATTTATAAGATTAATATTACTTTCTTAAAAGTGCGTACTCAGTGAAGAAATCCAAAAAATTATCAATTTTTTCTTGAAGATTCTAAGTTCAAAGAGGATCGAAATTCAATGGTATCGAAAATTAGCAAAAAGCCTTGGCTAATGGAAAAGCAACAAAAATATAGCTCTAAATTTCACGAAGCCTCTAAAGTTCGAATCGTTTTTAATTCACATTTTTATTTAAATATTATTTAACTAAGCATAATCAATGCTGGCTAATCAATGTTACAAATCAAATAATATCATATAAGAATAAAATTTAAGAGAATTTTTCTTCCGTACATTATTACGTTCTAAATTCAAATATTTAAGAGTGCTGACAAAGTTCAACTAAGGAAAAATGGAATTTATTAATGGAATTAAATTCTGTTAAAAAATCTTTTTCATAATCTTTTTAATTTTTTATCTTTTCATTTTTCACAATTCTGATTAAATATGATTTAATAGAATTAGAAAGTAAATTTATAACATTTCATTAAAAATAAAACACAAATGGATGTTGCGGTTTTTCTATAGTTCTTTCTGGTCTTATCATATCAGAAAATCTTATCATATCAGAAGTGATAAGTGAAAAAGGTTGATTATATTATATAATTTGATTTAAATTTTTAAATTTTTTCATATTTAACTGATAGAAGATACTCTCAAATAAATTTATAAAAAATTATTATTTATATGGCGAAACAGTTTTCCTCAATAAAATTATAAAATGCTTTTGAAAGTTGACATTAGTTGTCGATTAACAATAAATCTTCTACGATTAATTCATCGGCAATATCGATTCAGCTAATGGCTCGTCGCTTCAGATAGATTGAAAAATTAAGTAATATTTTTTTACTTTTTTTAACAAAAAATGCCAAAATAATAATAAAAATATGGAATAAAAAAAAAAAGAAGAAAACCGTTAATCGTCGTATAGTTTTTATCGAATAAAAACCTATAGTTATATAATACAAAATGCGAGTCGCGCAGATAACATTTCACTATATTTAAATAAAATTCAAAATATTTTTTCAATTAAAAAGAAATATAAAATATTTAAAATAAATATAAATGTATACATTTAAATATAAATAAGAAAAAATAATATTCCATTAATTTTTTTTACCAAATTTAAATTTAAAATTTTAAAAAATTTTTTAGATGTGAAGCATTTTAATTTAAAAGAACTTGATGAATTTATAATAGACAAAAAGGTAGATAATAGAAGAAATAAGAATTTAAGTGACCAAATAGAAACCTTATTTTTTTAACAAATCGAGCAAATTAATTTTCATGAAAAGAAGGATAAAAATATTCGTTATTTGCAAGATAATAATAAATTGTTTAGATTTTCTTAAAAACTTAGCTTAAGAAGCCCTTCAATGGTTCCTTTAACCAAAGCTTAGAAACCTTTTATTAAAAGTGAAATACAAGTGGTGCAGCGGACTCATTAACGATTTGAATGTGAACGACGAAATTGTATCAAATTATAGGTGTATTTATCAACTATTCATAAGAAATAAGAGCACTGTGAAGATTTTAGAAGATTCTTGCAAATTTTATAACCAATCATCTTAAGGTGGAGAGAGATGACGAACGAGCGATTGGCATGTCGTATAGTTGAATTAAAGTAGGTCCGTATTCTTCTACTTCTCGAAAATCCTCGAAAGAATAACTGCATGATATCCATGACCAGCCATTTTATTTCCGGCTAACTCTAGCGAATATTGCTTTAGTCAGTAGTCAGTGGTACCAACTATTCAGCATGTTGAAAATCACCATAACGATCTATTTTTAAAATCTAGGTTTAAAATCTAAAATCTTCATAAGTTCCTTAGAATTTTAGATGAAACTAGAAAATTTATTCAA